CATTGCTTCATAGGATCACCCATTTTATTCAATAATATTGAAATATTCGATGTGACAAGCCGTTATGGTTTAAGTGCAGTGAGTCCTATTGATGTGTTTTCTTTTAAGCAACTAAAGACATTGACAGTGAAGTGCTGGTATAAAGAACCGGAAATTTGGTTGGATTTCGTATTAGAACATCCAACAATAGAACGACTTGAAATTGGTATTGTAGGTATTGCTCTATGGTTTATGTATGAAGAGATGTTTGAACAAATACGCCGAAAACTGAACAAAGTAAGCCAAAATACGAAATTCATTTCGTTACAGTTAAACGGCTTTACATTTTATGATCCATCAGATCCAGGCAACACGTTGAAGCTACTGAAATTTTTAGCAGCCCAAAATTGGTTCAATAAGGTTACTGTAATGTTTAGACTTCCAAGAAGGAGAGGAAATTATAAGATATTCGATGAGTTATCCGCAATGGAAGTTTTCACAACGAAAATTTCGCAAATTTGTGAAAAAACATCGAAATTAAAATCATTTATGAAAATCTATAAAATAAAAAAGAACATTCTATCAGATACACCTTATGTTGATTTTGAGAAATGTGAACAATAAAAATAAAATGTACTAAATGAAAAATACGAGTGCTTTCTTGCCCCGTAACTGATGAGAGATACCAAAATGGTATCTTCGAGAATATTGTAGTACTTGACCTGCCCTAAAGTACTTGCTAAAGATAGATCAAAGGGATATTGTAACTTTTCTGACCAGAAAAAACGCCATCTAACGTCGAGCCCGTAAATTATTTTACTATACATTTAGGTGGTAGAGCTTGAACAAAAGTTCGACACTATGCATAAACTTGGAAAGAGCTTGATAAACTTGATGAAATACATATATTTAATGGTCGTTGCTATACCCCTATGGGATAGGTAAACAATATTGTTTGTTGATTTGGTCATTTCACCAACGCATGAATCAATTACATTCATTTTACGCTCAATTGATCACTGTTTTCATTCACAAAACTTTCTATCACCCTGTGCAGAGAAGCAATAAGGCAATGGTTGTTCGAAATTTAAAAAAAACTTGATATATGAAACTCTTTACGAAAGAAACCAGAACCAATGTTCAAAAATAGACATTTGCCTTAATAAAATTGCGACTTGTGGCTCTGTTTTGAGCATTTCTGGCGATAGCTGCAAACGATTTCGATGGTTTCATTGGGTCTCCGTTTGCTCATACGAAACTCCACCGCACTCTTGACACCATCATCTTTGCCGCCGATCGACTCGAGCAAACTATTCACTGTGAGTGAAATGAATTTGGTGCGAAATTTCATTGAATTATTATTCGTCGCAAAAACAGAACAAATACGGAGTAACGACAGTAAACCACTGAATATTTAATCAAGTTGCTTTCGTTTAATTGTACTTCAATGAGCCATCGAATTTAACCTACTCCATTTTATAAGTAAATTTGAATTGAGAAAATGCAAATTCATTAATGCGAAGCACTCATTGTAACCCCAGGTATGCAGAAAAAAATTGGATGAAAAAATGTTAGAAATGAATTAAAGTTTCCATTGAATCACGTTTTATTTAGAACATATGCTTGTTTTCAATTTCTAGTGATGCTATTCACAACTATTTCTTCTATTTTCGGTCAGACTATTTAAAATTTTTCAGGTTTATTGTTATATGTTTCTCAGTTCATGTTATAATACCGCGCTATTCATTTTAAATAAATCAAATTCCGAGACAAAAATCCCCTTTTTTATAATTAGACATTTGGAAACATAACGTTTGAGACGAATACTACAATGATTCATCTGATTGCCAGACATTCGAATATAGTTCATTTGACACGTTTTGATATGTACAATTTATAAAATAGATCTGTGCATTGTGGAGTCTCTTAGCTTATATTTAATCAGTCAACGCATATGATCTCAATAATGGAGTTCAGGTGTTTACGTAATTTTTGAAGTTGCCGTTGTTTGAAATCTCCAACAGCTGGATCGTCTATGTACGTGCCTTCAATCTCTTCGATCAAATAATTCAAACTAGATAATTCTTCTTCAGAAAGAATATTTTTGGCAGGTTCAATCGCATTAAACAAAGACTTAATCTCTGATGCCAGATTTTTTCGATTCGTATTAATAGCTTTCAATTTTGTTTCATCTCGAAAAAATTTCAAACCGTTTGCCATTGTCATTATTGTTTTTACTTGGTCAACAATTTGATTTTTTGATGGTCTTCCAGAATTAGTGCTTGTACTCGGTTCAGAGGTGTGTCTCATGGTTGAATTGTGAATAGGTTCTGGCCATTTCGATATCATTTCGGATTTTTCACGGTTCTCATTTGATTCAACGGGATTTGAAGCTTCAGCTGCCGCACGTGAATTTTTGGAGGACGAATCGTTTTCGTTACAGTTAACGACGTCAATTTCTGTAATTCAATCATATATTTCATTAGTTTTTTTCGCATTATTTTCTTTCAAAATACAAATTAAATTACCTGGACTTTTGCTTTGGCTTTTACTTTTTTCCGATCTGGGCGAGCAGATTTCATTTTGGTTTGGTAAGCCTTCATCAGGTTTTTGAATTCCTGCGTTTTCATTGCCTTCGCCAACTGTTACCTCATCTTCATTATCGGAATCAATGATCTTGGCTCGCTTCAGTTGCTGTGATGCGGCACCTTTGATTTTTGAGAAGATTTTGCATTACTTCGTGTTTATTAATCAAATAAATTCAGATTTTTACCTTCATCCTCTGAATCACTTAGAATAGCACGTTTCTTGCGATTCAATGGCAAACCACTTCTATGCGAAGCAGCAATGCCACTACGTGAACGAGATCGTGTACGTGAACGAGAGCCTGGAATACAAGGAAGATCAATATGAAATTGGTTCGAAATCAAAGAGAAAACGTGCTTCGAAACATCTAAATAATGGGCAAAAATCAATAGGTTTTACCTCCACTTTTTACAGGGCCACTTCGACTGTTTACCACGTTAAACAGCGCGAGCACTCGATCATCAGCCGACCTGCATACGGTCTACCGCAGTAACAAGTTATCGAATTGTATGAATCGGCGTCGGCATCTGCAAAAATTGGGGTAAAAAGATGGAGGGAATGTGAGAATTGATTTAAAAACTGATAGAAAAAAAATGAGAAAAATTTCAAAGCTACAATCGGCTTTGAAATTCCATCCAGTTTAAACTTACCCAAATCTGCACGTTTTTTTGCCGATGATGCATCAATGTCGCTCATGGCCTTTGTCACATCGTGAGTGCTTGTGGTATTCAGCATCGTATTTGAACCAACGAAATCTTTATCCCTATCTTCTAGCTCCTCTTTTGTTAAGTCGTCAACCGTTGAAATCGCATCATTCATAGCGTTGCTTTTCGTCAACTCAGTTGCGCTTCCCATACTATCCAATGGACTATGAGTTGAGCTTTGCAAAGCCTATAAAATGTGGATAGGCAAAGTTTGTTTTCAGTGTAAGTCTGTGAAAATCTAACAAGTCAGTAAAAAAAACTCAGGCAGCCGCAGGGAGTCTATGTAAAGACTAGTGAATCTTCAACGGAAAATCAATGGGTTTTATGAATTTATACAATTTCGACATGTCATTGATTCACAGCGACTCGTTTTCAGATTGTTATGAGCTTGTGCGCAACGACAAATAAACCCCAAGACCATTCATTGATTGCAAATTAACCGAACTTACTTCTCGACTAGACGTTTCATTAAAGTTAGCGTGTTCTAACATATGCTGAACACTCAGCTGGAAATCTTCTTGGGTACGCGGTTGACGTGTTTGTGCTGGTGATTGAGCATCATTTGGTTTGGAAATTTCGTTAGAATCATTCAAGTTTGGTGACGCTGAACCGGATCGGTCCGAGGTGGGCGAAGCGATGGATTTGTT